CTGTGTGTAGTGTGCAGTGTGTAGTGCTCAGTTTTAGTGATAAGAGAATTCGGCAATGGCAGATAACAGTGATAGTAAACCTAGTGTGATGATATCTACTGACTAYCYGAATGTCCAAATGACCTCCATTAAACTGAATGGAGAGAATTATGTCCCTTGGGCCAAGTCTGCAGAGGTCTTTCTGAAGGAGAAGAAGAAGGTAAAGCACATAAGAGAGGAGAAACCTCCCACTAGTTCTCAGGAGTATGAAGACTGGGAACAGGAAGATGCACAGATTATCACATGGTTGTGGAACAGTATGGAGCCCAGAATCAGTGTGAACTTCATGTTTCTTGACACAGCCAAAGAGGTGTGGGATCATGCTAAGAAATTGTATTCTGGTCAGGATAATACAACTAGGGTATATCAACTGCATCAGGAATACTTCAATCTGCAACAGGGAAATCAGAGCCTTGAGGAGTACTATGCCAGTATGAGAAATATCCGTAATGAGCTAGATGTCTATCACCCTCTCACTTCTGATGTCAAGGTTCAACAGCAACAGAGAGAGCATCTTGATGTGACTAGGTTTCTGGTGGGGTTGAAGTCTGAATATGAACCAGTACGAGCCCAGATACTAGGAGGATCTGCTCTTCCATCTCTAGAGGTGTTTGCTCGTCTTCAGAGGACTTCCATTGGATCTATGGAAACCTCTAGTATCTCAGATAGATCAGCATTTGCAGTGTCGAGAGGACGAGGTGGCAGAAGTGGGACTCGAGGAGCCCAGCCTGGCCAAGGTGACAATAGTGGTCCAGTGTATGGCCGGAGTGGTAGTGGTGGTCCTACACATATCCGTGGTGGTGGTCGTACTGAAGGCAGAGATTCAGGGGGAGCTCGTGGTAGAGGACATGGCTCGGGTCCACGGAGGTGCGCTCATTGTGGTTTGGATGGACATACTATTAACTACTGCTATGATTTAAACGGTCCACCTTCGACGTGGGCCAACCATGCCATGACTAGTGATACCAGTTCCAGCTTTAGATAGGAGAACCGATCAGCTGACCAGATGCCTTCTACTTCTCCAGATGGTCCAGGCAGGGAGATGGTGAGTGTTCCTCGTGATGAGTATGAAAGGTTTGTTCAATCCACGTCGCAGCAGAACACAACTACCTTTGCACACTCAGGTATGGCTTGTTTGGCATCCACACCCAACCCTTGGATCATTGACTCTGGAGCCTCCGATCACATGACGGGAACTCCAGGTGTGTTTTCATCTCTCACTCATTGCCCAACATCACAATCTGTCACCCTTGCCAATGGCTCCACATCATCTATTCGTGGTGTTGGTAATGTTGACCTAGACCCTGTGTCCCTATCCTCTGTTTTATATGTACCTAAACTTCCATTTAATCTTATGTCTGTTAGTAAGCTGACCAAGTCCCTTAATTGCTCCATTACATTTTGCCCCTCTGTGTGTTTTTCAGGATCTCAAGACGGGGATGAAGATTGGTGAAGGGCATGAAACCGGTGGACTGTATTATCTTGATGGTGGTGGAAGAACKTCAACGGCCCTTYAGTCATCTATTTCTCCTCTCCAGTGGCATTGTAGATTTGGTCATCCCTCGCTGAAAGTGCTGAAGTCCTTGGTCCCTTAATTGAGTCAACTTTCTGTTCTAGATTGTGAGTCGTGTCAATTTGGGAAACACCATCGTGTTCCCTTTAGTTCTAGGGTTGATAACCGTGTGTCGAGTCCTTTTTCTTTAATTCATTTAGATGTTTGGGGTCCCTATAAAGTGACGTCATATAATGGACATAGATATTTTGTTATTTTTGTTGATGACTTTTCAAGAATGGCGTGACTCTATTTAATGAAAGAAATAAGTGAACTATTTGCCATCTTCCAGAAATTTTATGCTGAGATCCACAATCAATTTGGCGTTCACATCAAAATTTTCCATTCTGATAATGGCCGTGACTACTTGTCTTCATCTTTTCAAGAATACTTGGACCAACATGGCATTATACACCAAACTTCATGTACCTACACCCCACAACAAAATGGGGTTGCTGAGAGAAAGAATCGACATCTTGTAGAAACAGCCCGCTCACTCATGCATCACATGAATGTTCCCAAACCCTTTTGGAGTGATGCAATGCTCACCTCTT